TTGTGCAGAGGTTAACCTTCGTAGGAAATAGCGAAGTGAAAATATCCTTATATCAAATTATAGTCAGTAGGCACTTATGGCTCTCTCATCCTTTGAGGTCAAATCCTCATTGGTCCTGGAGAAGTTTAATGTGCTTACTGAGAATAATATTATCCAACTGATAATAGTACCAGGGCGCATGGGAGCGTAAGGAAATGAGGGAACTGCATTAGCGAAACTCCAAGACAAGCTAAGAGCTTACTAAGGGGTACAATCTAAAGAGATATAGGCTACTGATAAACCTCCCCAAATAGAGGGCAAGAAAAATTATAGGTATTTTTACGGGTCAGTGTAGGCTAAGAGACCACTTGCATAAGCTAGGGATCTGGTAAAGCGATCTTTATCGCTTTTGTGACTCCGCCAAAGAGACAACATTGCACTTTCTCCTGGAGTGTGAGGCCACTGAAGGTGAAGGAAGAGGTGTACAGTACATCCATGGCCAAGGGAAGAGCACATAGACACCCCACCACCGGGATCTATTCAAAAATTCATAGAGTCTTTAGGTCTAGATGCAGTGTTCTGATGATTTTAGGACCCAATAGACCCAATGGTTTCAGTACTCACTCTATTTATATCTATCTATAGGTCGAGCTCATAGATGCTCCGTTTCGATTTTTCTTTGAAGCAGTGAAACAGTCGTAGAATCATAGTACTCGCTTTCGATTAAAGCACGAATAGAGCTTAAAGTTGTTCGCACCAAAAATGAGCTAGGTCTCTCACTACCTTACTCTCTATACATATCTCTCCTTTAGCCGCCGTCTGCTCTCGTATATGCATCGACATTTACCACAAAAGCCCGAATCTCGTTACTGGGTCACCGGAAATTATATTTTCGATTATCGTGATTCGAAATTCGGTATTGGCGCTATGTTGCAAGTATTTTTGGTAGGTGACTCGAAATCAGACTTGCCAGTGGTTGCTTATTTCAAGTTCGATACAGAAGCTTTGGGCAAATTTACCGGTCAATTGGCGGTAAGTTGTTTTGATTTTTATTCATTTTTTATATATAAAATATTTATGTTTAAAATTTCCTTCCTCCCTCCACAGCTCTATATCAAGGCACGCGGTCTACCCGATGCAATATTCCACAAATTTTTGAAGAATACTGCAACGCCCTTAAAATTCGAACACATCAAGGAATTATTGCACGCCCTGAAGGCGCCAATTATTGAATCCAAACCGCTGCATCTTGAATTTATCCTACAAATGGAGGGTAAAACAGTTTTATCGTATTACCTGAATCAGAAAACTTTTCAAAAACTAACCTACTCCGATCGTAAGTGTTGATTGTGTTTCGCACTCTCTCTCTCTCTCCATCACTCTACCACTTTTTTTCAAATTCTCAGTTATCAATCGCGTCAGTTTTATCATACGCGCTGATAGTCACATCAATATGCAAACCATTCGCTGGCCCTTCATGACCAAATATTCGGTACCCACAGTTTTGGGCACCGCTTCCGATGTGCTACTCCAAACCACTGTACTCACTTCACTGCGTGGCAACATTACACAACATCGCACCAATGATGTCATGAAATCAGCGCTGGAGATTGATGCTCGTTACTCCTCGTACGCATCGTGTCGCAGTCGCAGCTATAATCCATTCTTGAATTTGGATCATGAAATCAATCGTGAACAGGGCTTCCTTATCTATGTGCCGTTCAATACTGATCTAAATATGAATATTACCAGCAAATGTTTGCGTTATTCCTTCCATCGTCCGGAGAATATGACAAGTGGACTTTCATTTAAATCGCGTTCGATTACTTCGACGCGTGGACAGATAACAAAAGCTACCCAGCCTTTTGATGAAGTCTTGTATCCCGAAAGGCTTGTGGATGTGGTAAGTTGGAGGTGTTGAAGGAGTTGAAGACAAAATTCAATTAGTGAGTAAACTTTACTTTCAGTTCCAGCTGTTCAGATACGACACAGACGACTTGGGCATTTCAGTGTCCATTAAAACAAATCTAAACGAATTGAATAAGTACCGCGGCATGCTGCTCAAGTCAGAGTTTATGGAAAAGTGAGTATGAATTTTTAAAAGGCTTCTTGGTCCCATTTTCACATCACCTTTTTATTGCTTTGACAGCGGTTTCTCACGCAATATGGTAATAAACTTTATAATGTATGTTTTTGGTGTTGCACAATTGAGTTCGATACATCTTGGACATGACCGAAACTTTACAATGCTTGTGCAGAATGAAAAACCAACGAAGGTGAGTACGAAAATGTTCTCAAAGTCGCAGTAGATCCTATCGCCCACGTTCTGTCTCGTCCAATACAATAATTTGAGCAAATATAAAACAAATTTATTTTTTATAGATCGATGGCTCGATTTGTAAACAAGATCTAATAAACACGGCCGATAAAATTGGACAGCAGCTCAGCTTTACCATGGAGCATTCAAGTAATTTAGACGTCTCGGAAGCTCTCCACAGCTGGAACGTTACAATGGATATTTACTCCTCAACTAAGAATAACTGGTTTAATGTAGTTGGCACTTTGGAACGCACATCGAAAGTCGACACTCGCGACTGGAGGGTATGTTAAAAGAGGGAACCTAAGGGCTAAATGAAAAAATTTCGCATGTTAAAAAAAAGAACTCGATGTGTGGGTTCACTCCTGTTTGGTTATCTCTGTAGTGAAATGGGTATCTGGTTATATTTTTTATTAAATTTAGAACAATAAAATACACTAGGGGTATTCGTATAACGTAATAAACTGCCGATAAACGTGAAAAAATTATAAGTTCCATACAAATTCATAGTTTCATCACATTTATCGGCAGTTGGTGACGTTAGATTAATACCCCTACTATAGAATAATATTTTTTAACCGGATAACTATGCAAGTGTAGACAATAGGGTGGCCCAAAAATACATGAGACAAAAAAAATTAAAATGTTAAGCTCTCATCGCCAGGAATTTTTCTATGTGTATTTCATATGGAAAAAAACACATTTTTTCTTAGAAATGGTAGAGAATTTTTGAAAATTAAGAATTTCCGATCGAAAAATATTAGTTTTCTACGAAAAACTTTATTAGCTTTGATGCATCCCTAAACCTATTTTTTTTTTTTTTTTTATTAAACAAAATAATACTGGTATTTTTTTCTTTTTAGAAAAGTCCTAGGTTTTTTTTTTTTTACCCCTGGAGAACACCCAAAATTTAAAAAAAAAAAATGTCTTCCCCCCTTTATTATTCTACTTGGTTTAATTAATTTCATGATTTTGTTCCTATAAAAAAATAATTCAAGCCTTATTTTTCAAAAAAAGATTGTTTCTTAAGTGTTTTTCCAAAAATATTTTTCCCAAAAAACTTGTTTTTCCCCAGAAATCATTTTTTACAAAACAAAAATGTTTTTTTTATTTAAGTCAAATATTTTATAATTTTGATAGATATTATTTTCTTAAAACCATGCTGTTTCCTACAAAATTTAAAAAACTCTTAAATTGCTCTTTCGTATAAATAGTTATTTCCTCTTCATTTTTACTCAGAATTTTCTCTGGTTGCTAATTACAATTTCTTCTTAATAGTCTAAGATCCGACAAGGGCACGACCTTCACCCATCTGTTTAATGGATGAAATCTATATGAAATTTAACGTGTTAATAAATATTACGCGCGTTGGCTGAAAAAATCTTGGCCAGGCTATTTTTAATTAAAATTATTTTTAGTTTTATTTTTTTACTCAGTCGAAAGTATTAAGCCTATAGAATGTGCAATCGATGGGTTATCTATTTTTTTTCCTGCCTACCTATCGGGTTGGCAGGTATGAACAGGAAAGTAATACTAGTAATTTTCACTCATCTGTAACCAAAAATATCCAGGTCAAGATTTTTTCAACCAACCAACTCGCGAAATATTTCCCAACACAATAGATTTTATCCATTAAACAGCTCATGCCCTTGTCGGATCTCCTACTATAAAGAAAAATTTTTTTTCGAATTTTTATTTTTTTATTCTTTGTTTCTATTGTGTGGAAACTTTTTACCGTGGACCGAGAACAAAAGGTATCATCGAAACACAAAGCCGTTCTCGTAGTTTTGTTGCCAAGAAAGTTTCGAAACCAAAACAAAATGAGAACAAAACTGACGAGCACGTTTTCAATGGAAGAGCAAAACCCCGCAGAACATTTCCAAAAAGAACAAAATGCGAACAATAATTTCGAGAACATTTCTAAGGGAACATTTCCGGACTAAACGGGAACAAAAGTCTAAGGAATTTTCTCTCGAAGAACAGTTCAAGAACTAAAACCTCAGGAACTTTCTGACAGAAAAGAAAACGATAACAAATCTTATAAATTAAGTAAATAAAGTATTAACTGAACATTTTTTTTTAATTTTTGTTGAGCTTGAGGACGTTATTAGTGAAAATTTGTGTGGAAAAACCACAATAAATATATGGCAAAATAAATAGTTACTAGGTCGGAAAATAACGGAAACAAAATATTGAAAATTTTTCTTTAGGGAGCTAAGAAGCAAATTAATTTTTTCGCTCTCTGCTCCAGCTAAAATCCTTTGCTCCTTACTCCGCTCCGCACCGGATCCCTGATTTTGACAAAGCCCTACGAGGTTTATGCTACTAAACGGCACTTAGTTGCTACTTAGGCGTCTTTCGCCTCCATTATAAGCTAACTTACTAGCATCCGTACCGGCGATATTCCTGGTCTTAAGAGAACTCTACGGATCATACAATCCTATAACGTACTTATTGACCTACTGTATGTTTGCTTGTAGGAGAGTTCCTTTCGTGATTTGCTTCTCTTTCCTAAGATGTTTTTTGAAGTTTAAAGAGAAGTTCTGCGTCTTCAGGCTCTTGATTTCCATGGCCTCGTTCTTGATACTCTGATCGTAACCTAAGCAGGTGAACAAATACGTTTATTGTTTACTCAAAGACTTTCTTTTAGCAGCTACTGAACAAGCTCATCTTCCATGAGTGCGAAAAGTTAAAACGCATTCGATTCGCGAAACAAGTAATTTTAAAGTTTATCAACTCCGCAAACGGGAGATCGTAAAAACGTTAACAGGAATATTGTGTAAAAACATGAAACTATTTATACGTTATAAGAAATTTAAAATTTTTACTACGTTTTAATTGTTCCCTCGCACTTCGATTACTCCACTTGCTGGCGTCCTTAATCTTCACCACCACCAGCTTCTAGCTCCTCTTCGGCAGATATCAATGCAACTATACCCTCTTGCAGTGACTTAACCAACTCGAATTCGGTGAAACCCAAGCGACGTCTATTCGAAATATCCATAACACCATCTTCTATCTGGGTATGTTCACCACCAGTGCCGCGTATCTGCAAATTCAACTCTTCAGCCATTGCCTTGAGTTTGTCACCCTGTTGCGACAGCAGTGGCAAACGTATATGGACTGATGCGCGTAGCGTTGTCCCAAGATTGGTGGGGCAAGCGGTCAAGTTGCCATAACGAGGGTGACGTGCAAACTGCAATGACTTCTCCAATTCGGTTAAGCCAGCAACTAACCGATTGTAGACATCACCTGAACGAAATCATACAAATATTTAGTGTTCAATAATTGCTGCGATTTATCTGCTTATTTGCTTACCTAAATCACCGCACTTAGCCATTGAAATGATACGCAAATGATCCTCTTCATTCACCCAAATTAAGAAAGTTTCAGCTGGATTATGAAATATACCGCGACCGGTGGGCCAGAAGCGATAACAGCCCGCTGTGGTTAAAAACTCATCGCCACGTTTGAAAAGTATATGACGTGCGACCATTTCATGTTGAATCTCTGGCTCTAAATCGACCATGCTAAAGTAGGCGCCCGTGTGTTCACCATCCAAGCTCTCGGCTGCAGCACGCACTTTTTCCTCAATTTCGAGATATTGTTTCTCACGTAATTTGGGAAAGTATGGATAACCTTCAAGATTACGCGCAATACGAATTCTTGTCGAGAGTATATACTTGCGTTCCGGATCCAAATTTTCGATTTCATCGACGTTGCCCCAATCGTTGTCCTTTTGTAAAATATCACTCTCATTTTCCAATTGGCCGTGATAGTCTCTAATGATCGGATCGAAGAGCTTATTGAAAACATCATAGGAATCGGCATCGGCTGCATAAACGCCACAGCTGGAGTTGTGATGTATGGCGCCCGATTGTATGCAATCGTAGAGGTTAGCCTCAGTGGGCGGCGCAGTTGTGGTCATCAAATACTCATCCAGAACTTCACGCGTCAAATATTTGCGCAATAGCGAATTATTATACTCTTCATCCTCCGTAAGGCTCTTGAAACCCTCTTCCAATAGTTCGGCAATCTCTTCGGGTGTTTTCTTGCTGCACGCCAAAACGAAGTGCATTCATTATACGAGCACGAATGAGTAGGAATCATAAGGAGTAGCTATATCTACTTACATTTGGCTGCGCAAACGTTCCAGCTCCTGCTCTAAGCGTGCAATAGTCTTATTGGCCTCTTCAAGATCAGACTTCATCATATCGAATTGCTCATCGTCCGGACAGGATTCGCACATGAATTTGCGTACAAAGCGTATAGCATCATCTGGTTTATTCTGCTCTTCGTAGAGTTTGATTAACGCCTTACTGAGTGCATCAATGACGCCGGCGCGCTCCAAGTACTTGCGATACTGCACGCGTTTTGATTCAATCTTTAAAAAAAAAGTTGAAATTAGTAAACCGTCAGTCAGTCTGAGTTGGAGTGCGGTAGGGTGGTGGAGTTTAAACGTAGAACGGTACTCACCGAAGACATGATGTGCTATAGCTTCTCTCTAGCGGAAAACTTGCTTTTTTTTATTAGCTTATTGCAACTGAAAAACTATTTCTAATCCACTCAAAAGAATGACTTTTTGCTTGTAAACCAAACTGATGTTTTCATCAATTTCAAACTGTCTACCAACAGAATCAAGAGTTACGCGATTAAATGCCGATGATCTTGGCAACTTTCATACGAAGTACTGAAATTTTATCTGCCCAAAAACAAAACTTTCCATGCATTTGTATTCGTTTTTCAAAAGATTTCAAAGTTCGACATTTGTATTGCTCATAAATCGAAGTTGTAGAATATAAAGACACAGCTCTATCGATCAAACACAGCGAACTAAGTGCAAGCAACGTGCAAAGTACAGAGCTGCAGGTGAAGACTGCATGTCGACGAGGTGAGCCAGACATGTTGACGATGTTAATAAAGCGAAAGCACAAAAGTTGGTTGTACTAGTAAAGGCATGCGTACATACTTACGTACATACAGTTAGAGGAAGCCCTAAGTAACCTTACCCACAACGCTGTCAACGAACTGTTGAAGGATTTATGTATGTACATATATATTTGCACGACAGTCATAATCGCGCAATGTTGGGTGGTATGAAGCCCTTTGAGCAATCGTTGGTAAAGGAAAGTTATGTATTGTTTTGTTGTGGCAACAGTAGATGCTAACGAGCCGCCACCATGGAAATATGTTGAGCTACTATGAGCACCGCATTATGGTGAATTATGAGAAGCCGCTATATAGTAAAAGTTACTTGTAAACTTAACAGATAACACATCTAGCCGTGTCTTTTCATTCGTCCTTTAGATAATAGATGAGTTTAATAAGGTAACGAGTTACTGCGACCAAGGACGATCTATAGTAATAAGCCCTTTGTTTGACAGCAGGTCTTCTTTGAAACTCGTATCGCTAGGCAGCCTCGCGAGGTCGCTTCGTCTGAGCGCTGTTTAGGTCAAGTGTTCATATGTTCGATGATTTGCGGAAGAGAAAGCTCTGCCGTTACTCGATTCTCGTTTCATAGCCTTCAGTGGTCCCGGGCCTAAGGCAACCAATATGGCATCGAAATCCAACGCAGAATCACTCTTGCCAACAAGTGGTATTTTGAATTGAGTAGACAATTGAGAAGTAAAGTCCTCTCTCTTGACGAACGAGAACCACACTCTATAAATCACTCATCATGCCCGTGCCCGTGATGGTATATGGCGCAGAAACATGGGCAATGACATCATACGAAAAAGCGGCCCTTGGAGTACTCAAGAAAAAGATTTTACGAAATATTGACAAGCCTTTACGCGTTGTCGACAGTGAGTACCGCAGACGGCGGAACGATGAGCTGTACGAGCTTTACAACGATGCGTATTTATATAGTTAATGCGGCGGACTAAAATACTGCGGTTCCGCTGGCTCGGCCATATCGTTCGGTTAGAAAATATCTTTTACGTAGAAGATAGCAAATTTGATAAGCTTCACTATTGTACAAAGAAATTTAAGATTCGCCAGTTATATAAAAGAAAAATATGCAATTAAGTGAGTGCACTTTCGTCTATGGGTATTTGCACATGACATTACCTACGATAATTTGGGGTTCCTAAACTTTTATGACCCTCCTTTGTAGTTCCAAAAAAAACTTATGTTTTCACAAGACACAGGGTCCACATGCTTTCTGACATCGAGCTCAAAAGTTCCAACTGTAATAGCCAAGATATCGGGACAGATAGTAGAACCTTGCTTCGATGATCTAAAAAAGGTAACTTTTCATATGAAAGTATGCATGTACCAAAGCAAAAATATTCAGTTAAACAAGTAAGAAAGTCCAAGTTCGGGCGGAGCCGAACATTAAATACCCGGCGCAAGTATTAAATATATGTTTTTTCACCTTTCCGAAACCTTCCGCTAGATGGTAAGCCGGGTTGTATCAATTTTGAGTAAATTAGCGTCCTTCAATTTCGAAATATTGAAGTTTCAAGCATTTCTGAAATTTACCGTTATATGAGAAGCGGCCGTTATTTTAGTCCGATTTCAATAATTTTCAACGTTTTGCTTATATTTGGCAAGCACAATAACCACATCGAGTTTGGCACAAATTGGTAGAACGGTTACCGATATACTTATATGTGATCAAAGTGGGCGGTGCCACGCTCATTTTCCAAAATTTTACCATAAACGTATTTCTTGGTAAAGAATTGTTGCAAGCATCAATTTTGAATAAATTAGCTTCAATATTTACTGATTTATCGAAGATTTTGTATTTCTCTAAATTACCGTTATATGGGATGTGGGCGTAGTTATTGTCCGATTTTAAAAAATTTGGTATGCTGCACCAAGCCCAACAACTGTGCCAAGTTTGGAAGAAATTTGTGCAGCGGTTACCAAGATATACACATGTAACCATAAGTGGGCGTGGCTACGCCCATTTTCCAAAAATTTGTAATATTTTAATTTCTCGTCTCAAAATTATTGTAAATATAAATTTTGAGTGAATTATCTTTAGTAGTTACTAAAATATCGCAGTTTTCGTATTTCTGGAAATTACCGTTATATGGGAAGTGGGCGTGGTTAAAGTCCGATTTCACCCATTTTCAATACCAACCTACCTTGGATTAAGGGAAACCTACATACCAAATTTCGTTGAGATATCTCAATTTTTGCTCGAGTTATCGTGTACACGGACGGACGGACAGACGGACAGACGGACAGACGAACGGACAGACAGACATGGCTTAATCGATTTCTTTTTTCATCCTGATCATTTATGTATACATTTGTCTATATCTATCTCGATTCGTTTTGGCTGTTACAAACAACCGTTATGTGAACACAATTAATATACACTTGGGCACAAGTGCGCTCGGGTATAAAAATGGTGGGTGCCTGGTCTATGGTAACCATCATTGACCAAACTCAAGACGAGTTGTTGCGAGGATGCATCAAGCTAGGCTAAGCATGATTTGAGGTGGCATCAACTTATGACTTTAATAAGTCCTGTTATAATACACTTGAGAAGTGCATATGCAAAAATTTCATAAAGGAAATTTTTATGCAGATCGGGATATAAACAGGTTGTTCTAGACCACCCGTCCACCACCCTGAAATGGTGGGAAATATTTTTTATTGAAAACCGCAAAAATTTGGCCTACTAAATCGTGGATACTCCAGCTTTTGGAAGTAACGGGTGATTTTTTTGAGGTTAGGATTTTCATGCATTAGTATTTGACAGATCACGTGGGATTTCAGACATGGTGTCAAAGAGAAAGATGCTCAGTATACTTTGACATTTCATCATGAATAGACTTACTAACGAGCAACGCTTGCAAATCATTGAATTTTATTACCAAAATCAGTGTTCGGTTCGAAATGTGTTTCGCGCGTCCGATTTATGGTCTACATAATCGACCAAGTGAGCAAACAATTAATGCGATTGTGACCAAGTTTCGCACTCAGTTTACTTTATTGGACATTAAACCAACCACACGAATGCGTACAGTGCGTACAGAAGAGAATATTGCGTCTGTTTCTGAGAGTGTTGCTGAAGACCGTGAAATGTCGATTCGTCGCCGTTCGCAGCAATTGGGTTTGCGAAACACATTTCGAACCGAACACTGATTTTGGTAATAAAATTCAATGATTTGCAAGCGTTGCTCGTTAGTAAGTCTATTCATGATCAAATGTCAAAGCATACTGAGCATCTTTCTCTTTGACACCATGTCTGAAATCCCACGTGATCTGTCAAATACTAATGCATGAAAATCCTAACCTCAAAAAAATCACCCGTTATTACCGATTTTCGGATTCCATCGGAAGTGGGTTGAACTGACCGGAAGTCCAATTTTTTATGGGATATACATATTTTTACTAAATATTCGGATTCTAAGGATAAAAATACGTAACCTTAGTTTGAAACCTTTTTCTCCGAAGTGCTTTGCCAACCTCTAAATTTCCATCGAACTCTAACTCGTCCTTTACTCCTGTTGAAAAATGTTGAGAAAGGCAATTCCTGAATATGTAGTAAAAACATACACGTGTAATATAAACAAATTTACTTCCATTTCTCATATGCATGCGTGTTATTTGTGGTATTTTTGATTTGTGGCCTGTCTATACGTTCACATCTACATACATATGTACATATGTATGTATGTAAGTAAATACAACTGCCCTGCAAACCAAAGTTCCCGCAATCTTAACGAAATCTTTAGGAGCATCTCATTTCTGTGAGGATTTTTTTAAGAATCTTCAAAGAAAATTTTAAGCAGTGGTTGACACGAACTCGTAAAGAAATTTCTGTACGAAAAATCAAGAAAATTCTGAAAAAATTCTGCAAGAAATTTTTCCCAGAGCAGTGTTACTTTGATTTCTTTACCGATTTTCATCCGAAATTTCGTAAAAGAATCGAAGTGGGCGCAGTTTATTTCACTTTAGAAAACTAGGCAAAAAATCGGTTGACTTCTTACGAATTCTGTAAAATTTCTCTATAATTCAAAATACTCTGAACAAATGTTTTGCAGGGTGGGTATATTGTTTTGAAAACCGCAGGTGTATATGCTAAACAAGCTACCCTGCTGGAAAACATGAGTTAACCAAATATTTCACTACTTATAAATACTGTTTTAAATTTACAAACAAACAAATCTTTTTACATGCATCATAAATTAGGGGCGGATGAAGCTATCTTGGAAGAGGGGAACTTGCAATTTGCTGGTGGATTTTTCCTAGGTAAATACTTACTTGTAACGCCAGCCACGTGTTAAAAAGTTTTGAGTACTCATTTTTTATTATTTAATATTTAAATATTTTTTTTTTATAAAAATATATCCAGTTCATTTTCTTGCATACTTTTCTAAAAATTATGAATAAATAGTTTGAAATTTTTATAAAACTTTGTTGATTCATTGTATTTTTTGTAAAATTGTACAAAGTTTGAATCTTATAAAACTTTGTTGATTTTCTTTTATAATTTGAAAAATTACAAAATTGAAATTACAAAATTTTAAACTTGATTTAATCTGGTTTTTGTTATAAAATTAACTTTATTTTTATAAAAAAAGAAATATTAATTTAAATAAAATATTACAAAATTTTAATAAATAATCAAACCTTGTCAATATGAAGGTGCCTTACAGTTATAGCACTATTTATTCCAATAGGGAAAACATCTCATGGCATGATGCTGGGAGCGATTCACACTAATAAAGGATTTGTTCATGGGGCTTTTTTAGTTGAAATTGACAAAATAAGCACTATTTTCATTAGGACATTTTACCGTGTATTAAAAACTAAGTAATTGTGTTTTCTTAAAATGTCAGTATTTTTACTCGATTTATTCAAATAAATTTAAGTAAAAGGTCTGAAATTTTAAGAGAAAGCAATTTC